TAAAAATACTATTTTCTAAAATTTTTTAGCAAGTGTTTTATTAATTTTTATAAAGGTACTTTGAAATTCCTGGTAGTACAGTCTAGTATTTCAAATTAATATAAGTAATTTGAGGTACAGTGCGATAAGGAGTGCCTTTTAAATTTCTGAATTGTTGCTCTGTAAAAACAAAAGAGTTAGGGGCCGGCAGGTGATATGTTGGTTAAAGGTGTAAGACTCCCACATGGCTGACCACAGTTCGAGTCCTGGACTGGCGGCTTGCTTTCTCACTTTCTTTCTCTCTCTTGCTGGCCTAATAAATTAAATAAACAAAGCTAAATTAAAAAAAAAAAATTCTTTAAAAAGCCCGAGAAGAGTTAGTATATATTGTTTTCTCAATTGACACAATTGAGTGTTGATTTCCAGAGAGGATTATGTAAGTTAGATAGTTAATAGTTATTATAAAATAAAACAATACTTAAAACATCTTTTAAAATTTGTCACTAATATCTTGTACCTGTTACAAGATATTTTAAAACTGTATAATTTTAAACTTTCCTAAAATGAAATAGCTTAAATTGATGTTGATTTCTAAGTGATCTCTTACTCATAGATACTTATATAAATAAATAAATAAGTAATGGAAATAAATGATTTGTCTGTAAGAATGAAATTTTCTTTGATAGAAGTTGTGAATGGAGTGGTTGGGATGGGCATAACTACATAGGCTCACTATTCCTTTTTTAGTCCATTCTCTCTCACTGACATTCTTTTTGACCCTTATTCTTTTTGATCCCTCCCTTCTATAGTGAATAACTCTTATTAAGAGGTCTATGATAGTTCTTTTTTTTTGGAGAGGTTTTTGCTATAGGGCATGTGTGCTCACCAGAAAGACAGAGAGAGACAGAGAGACAGCAAGAAATCACCCCCCAGGGGGAATGGCCACGCTGCAATCCCTTCTCCTCCATTCTCCTCTCGGGATCTTGGGCATGCACGCACTCACGCCTGGCATGAGTTTAAGCCGTCGGGTCCAGGACTTGAACCGCGGTCGACTACATGGGAGTCCAGTGACATAGCCATTACGCTAACTGCTGGTCCCAAGAGGTCTATGATATTTCTTTCAAATGTATGTTTTCCTCCCTAGATAATTATTTATTTAATTCCATTTGTTGTTGTTGTTGTTGTTATTATTAATATTATTTAAATTTGACCAGACTGATACAGAGAGAGAGAGAGGGAAAGTGAGAAAGCAAGCCACCAGGTCCAAGACTCAAACTACGGTCAGCCATGTGGGAATGCAGTGCCTTTAATTACCACACCATCTGCCTGCCCCTCAAATATACTCTGTTAGGAAAACAATTAAATTAAATTTCATCAGAATCTGTTCATTAATGGGTTGACAACTGGAACATTTTACTGTTTCAATACTTCTGAAAAATACAAAACAAGTCTAAACATATTTATTTGTGATCATCCTGAAGTATATCTGTTACCTAAATTAATCACTCAGGACAAATACAGATGTAAAAATTTTTATTGAAATAAATATTTATTTGTTGGGGACCAGCAGTTAGCGTAATGGCTATGTTGCTGGATTCCCACGTAGTCAACCATGGTTCGTGCCCTGACCCGGTGGGTTAAAACTCAGGCCGGGCGTGTGTGCATGTGGGCCCAAGATCCTGAGAGGAGAATGGAGAAGAGATTGCGGCGTGGCCATCCCCCCTGGGGGGTGATTTCTCGCTTTCTGTCTCTCTGTCTCTGTCTGGCGAGCGCACGTACCCTATAGCTAAAACCTCTAAAAATGAAAAATGTGTATTGTTAAAATACAAGACTGGGGATGGATATCTTACAAGTTCTACAGGTAGAAGGGGTTTCCTATCAATTTCAGTGTTTTGTCTTTCCAAGCAAAATTTAAGTTGTCATCGTATGAACTTCTCTTTGAAATACTGGGCTTTTGGAAAAGTTACGATGCATTTTTGCATAGCACAACACGTCATGACTTTCTCAACAACCTAATAAGTGATCCTGTGACTAGAGATTTTGCAGTTTTTCTCAAATTTATAAAAATATTTTAGAATGCAATATGGCTTCCATATTAAAAAAACTTTGATGAGTATACTTAGTAGTTTTTCCTTCTTAAATATCTTTCTCATAATATCCTGTTCTCTGTTTCCTTCACTGAATTAGCATACTTGCCTCTCCTTTAGTATATCCTGTGCCTTTCTTTTATATGTGTTTCTGTTTATATTTAATTCGTGTTGCAAAATCACTTGAGTTACTATTGTTCATCCTTCATTGTTTCTGATGAGAGGACCCATGTTAGCCTGATGGGATATCCTTTGAAAGTAACTTGACATTTCTCTCTCGCCAATTTATCCTGTTTCTGTCTGTGGTTTTGGTCAATCTTGTTAGGATGTGCCTTGGAGGAGAGCTTCTTGGGTTGATTCTATGTGGAGTCCTTTGTATTTCTCGTGTCTGGATATTTGAATGCCTGTCTAGGTTTGGAAAGTTTCCTTCGAGGATTTCATGGAATAGATTATCAATACTCTTATTAGTTTCTTCACCTTCTGGGATACCTATTATCCGGATATTTGCATGTCTAATGGTAGCTAGTATTACTCATATGTTATTCTCATTTTCTGGGTTTCTTTTCTCAGTCTTTTTGGTGAATTTTTCTAGGTCAGAGGTTCTATCTTCTACATCTGAGATTCGATCTCCTGCATAATCTAATCTGCTTTTAATACTTTCAAGAGGCTTTGACTTTTTGTTTTGTAACCTTCATCTCTAACTGTTTTATGGTGTGTATTTTCTTTTTTTATGGTGTGTATTTTCTCTTTTCAATCATGCAAGAACTTCCTCACCTCCTGGAACTTACCTCTTTTCTTCTGTATCTTCTGGAATTTGTTTTCTCTCTTCTCTTGCTTCTCTGTTAGCTTTGTCAGTATGAATATTTAAAATTCTTTACCTGACATTTCTATCACTTCCACTGTCTGTGGATGATGAAAGACGGTTCTTTTCCCTTGGGGGAAAGATATTTCCTTGGTTTCTCATATTTCTTGTGCCTCTGTGGTTGTTTCTGGTCATCTGATAGATTAAATGTTTCTTCCTACTTTCTTTGAGTTAATTGTGAGTGTTAGAGGTATGTGGGAAGTGACGACCTGCAATATCTCTGCAGATGTTTCCCTGATCCTCACCAAGCAACCTGCACTTCTGTTGATGGAGCTGGATATTGAAAAGTCTTTCCAGTTTCGGAAGGATAGGTGCACCTGGGCTGAGATGCAGGGATTCAACCAAGAGTTCAGAGGTGTGTGGGAGTAGATGAGCCACACTTCCTACAGCTCTGTATATTCTCTGGTGGTATAGTCACGTTTGGCTAATTTATTGAAGATTTCTGCAACTGTAAGCTCATATGCTTCACTTTACTGTGAGATACTTCTTTGCCAGTTTCTCCTCTACTACTGTGTTTTGCAATGTGGTATCCACAGAAAGATTTGAATTCAGATTGATCAAGATGAGTTTCTCCCTTTCTGTAACAGTTAGTTCAGTTGGTGTTGAGGTTTTTTATGACCCTAAAAGTATTCAGATGTTTTGCTGCTATGCACTTAGTCCTGTCTAGACAATCAATGTTTGGAAGCTTGCTTCATTAGGTATTGGGCTGGAAGATGAGGTTTAGAGCAAAGGCTTTTGCAGTTCAAGGAACAGGGCTGGATCTACCTCAGATGCACATGGATTCTTGCTTCACTAGGTGTTGTTTACCCACCAGTTATGAAAACATGTTCACACAGATATTCAGGAACCATCACTCAAGACAGCCAAAACCTGTAAGCAACCCAAGTTATCCATCAACTTGGAAATGCATAAGTGATAATGTGATTGATTCTACATGATCAGTAGAATGTGGTATATGCACATCAATAGAATATACACAACAGTAGAATCCTACTAAGTAATAAAAGGGAACTACTAATAGGTGTACCAGGGAAGATTGATCTCAAAAACCTTATGTTAGCTATTTCTTATATGTTCTAGAAAAAATATAATGGTAGCTAAAGAAAGCAGATTACTGTTGACAGAGAGTGAGGAGACAGAATGGATTGCAAATATTAGAAAGAAACTTTTCGAATCTTTGAAATGTTCCATATTATGATTTCAGTGGTGGCACATGACTGAATTTGTTAATTTTCTTCATTGTGAATTACCACTCAATAAAGGTAAACAAGAAAAAAATACTTCCGTTTTTATAGTTCACTAGGGCACGTGCACTTGTCAGAGAGAGAGAAAGAGAAAGTAAGACATCACCCCCATGAGGAGAATACCACACTGCAGTCCCTTCTCTTCCATTCTCTTCTCAGGACTCAGCACATGTGCACTTGTGGCAGTCATAATTTTCAAGTCACCAGATTTGAGACTTGAACCTCTCAGTTTGGCCTTGTGGGATCCAACCCCTTAACCTCCATACCACCTGCTAGCCCAGAAAAAACAGTTTTTAAACAAAATTACCAAGTTTCTTTTTTTCATTCATAAAAAGATTGGGTAGAATAATTGGGTTTTATTCTTTTTCTGGACTTTAACAAACAAGGATTTGTATGTTTTTGGTAGGAAAAGGAGAAAGGCCATTAATAAGACAGTAGATAGCTAGGCTCATTTGTTGGTTGAAGATAACAAAAGTTATGTTCAGAAAAGAAGTAATAATTTTTCTTTATAAAAAATATGGGACCAGCAGATGGTGTAGCAGTTACATTGGTGGACTCTCACATGGCTGACCACGATCTGAGTACTGGACCTGGTGGCTTGAAACTCACACTGTACACATGTTCATGCATGCCCAAGATCCTGGGAGGAGAAGGGATTGTGAAGTGGTCTTCCCACTTTCCCTCTTGGTGTTTCTGTGTCACTTTTTGTCTTTAGCAAGTGCAAGCACCCTAAAGCCCCCCAAAAAGAAGTCATATTATGTTTAATAAATTGAATGTTGAACACTTTAGGTTCTTACTAACTATTATCATAATTTTAATTCCCTTTAGAAATATAAACCTGGTCGTTGTGATGATATCTTGAAATGGAAGCCTCCCAGTCTGAATTCTGTGGATTTTCGCCTCAAGATAACAAGAATGGGAGGAGAAGGGTAAGTGTACACTTTTGTTCTTCCACAGTTTTTACATGAAATAATATTTGTATAAAACTTTTATATATACCTTATAATACTTGCAGAAAAGAAAATATTTTATAATATACTTGTTACATATATACATATCTATCTCATTTTCACAGATTACTTTTTTGACTTTTAAAAGCTAACATTTTGTGGCATCCTTTAAGCTCTGCTAATTTTAGCTTTAAAACCCTATTTTAAAAGAATGTAAGCATTAATAATATGAAATAATGAGTTGTTAAATTATAAAAGTAAAAAGAGATTTTATTTAAAAATAATCCTGTGAAATGAATCATAAATGTAAGATATATATGAGGGGGCTTCAAACATTTCATGGAAGAATATACATAAAGTATAAGTTTATTTTAACCTAAAACGTTTTCGAAATCAATACATGAATTTTTTTATAATATGAATTTTCCATGAACTTTTTGAAAAGCTGTTTTGCTGTTATAGATAAATATTATACACAACAGTAGAATCCTACTAAGTAATAAAAGGGAACTACTAATAGGTGTACCAGGGAAGATTGATCTCAAAAACCTTATGTTAGCTATTTCTTATATGTTCTAGAAAAAATATAATGGTAGCTAAAGAAAGCAGATTACTGTTGACAGAGAGTGAGGAGACAGAATGGATTGCAAATATTAGAAAGAAACTTTTCGAATCTTTGAAATGTTCCATATTATGATTTCAGTGGTGGCACATGACTGAATTTGTCTGTTAATTTTCTTCATTGTGAATTACCACTCAATAAAGGTAAACAAGAAAAAAATACTTCCGTTTTTATAGTTCACTAGGGCACGTGCACTTGTCAGAGAGAGAGAAAGAGAAAGTAAGACATCACCCCCATGAGGAGAATACCACACTGCAGTCCCTTCTCTTCCATTCTCTTCTCAGGACTCAGCACATGTGCACTTGTGGCAGTCATAATTTTCAAGTCACCAGATTTGAGACTTGAACCTCTCAGTTTGGCCTTGTGGGATACAACCCCTTAACCTCCATACCACCTGCTAGCCCAGAAAAAACAGTTTTTAAACAAAATTACCAAGTTTCTTTTTTTCATTCATAAAAAGATTGGGTAGAATAATTGGGTTTTATTCTTTTTCTGGACTTTAACAAACAAGGATTTGTATGTTTTTGGTAGGAAAAGGAGAAAGGCCATTAATAAGACAGTAGATAGCTAGGCTCATTTGTTGGTTGAAGATAACAAAAGTTATGTTCAGAAAAGAAGTAATAATTTTTCTTTATAAAAAATATGGGACCAGCAGATGGTGTAGCAGTTACATTGGTGGACTCTCACATGGCTGACCACGATCTGAGTACTGGACCTGGTGGCTTGAAACTCACACTGTACACATGTTCATGCATGCCCAAGATCCTGGGAGGAGAAGGGATTGTGAAGTGGTCTTCCCACTTTCCCTCTTGGTGTTTCTGTGTCACTTTTTGTCTTTAGCAAGTGCAAGCACCCTAAAGCCCCCCAAAAAGAAGTCATATTATGTTTAATAAATTGAATGTTGAACACTTTAGGTTCTTACTAACTATTATCATAATTTTAATTCCCTTTAGAAATATAAACCTGGTCGTTGTGATGATATCTTGAAATGGAAGCCTCCCAGTCTGAATTCTGTGGATTTTCGCCTCAAGATAACAAGAATGGGAGGAGAAGGGTAAGTGTACACTTTTGTTCTTCCACAGTTTTTACATGAAATAATATTTGTATAAAACTTTTATATATACCTTATAATACTTGCAGAAAAGAAAATATTTTATAATATACTTGTTACATATATACATATCTATCTCATTTTCACAGATTACTTTTTTGACTTTTAAAAGCTAACATTTTGTGGCATCCTTTAAGCTCTGCTAATTTTAGCTTTAAAACCCTATTTTAAAAGAATGTAAGCATTAATAATATGAAATAATGAGTTGTTAAATTATAAAAGTAAAAAGAGATTTTATTTAAAAATAATCCTGTGAAATGAATCATAAATGTAAGATATATATGAGGGGGCTTCAAAAATTTCATGGAAGAATATACATAAAGTATAAGTTTATTTTAACCTAAAACGTTTTCGAAATCAATACATGAATTTTTTTATAATATGAATTTTCCATGAACTTTTTGAAAAGCTGTTTTGCTGTTATAGATAAATATATACATTTTTTTTTTTACTTTGAAGGAAAGTAACTCCATGTTAGTATTGCATATCGAAATATTTATCCATACTTTATTGGGAAACTTTTTTGTTTTGGTTACAGAGCATGTATGTGTATTTGCCAGGGAGAGAAGGAGAGAAAGGGAAAGTGAGAAGGATGCCCTCAGGGGGCATGGCCATGCTGTAGTCCATCCTCCTCTTAGGATTTTGGGAACATACACACAAGTACCTAGCACGTTTCTCAAGCTGCCAGGTCTGGGACAGGAACCATGTGGTAGGCCATATAGGATTCAGCTGCCTTAACTGCCACATCATTGTCATATATATATAGATAGATAGATAGACAGATAGACAGACAGATAGATAGAGTTTTATAAGGAAGTTGTATCCCATAAATTTTTAATGCAAGTTATCTAAGTAAATGAATTTTGATAAAATACGAATCACAACAAGGAGATTGTAAAAAGAAAGTAAATAAGATAATGCTAGCAAAGAGATTTAAGTTTACCAGTACTTGTTCTGAGATTCTTTTTACTTGAGAACGGTAAAACAGATTTTTTTTGGTAGCTAATAGAATAGATAATATGTTAACAGTTATAGCTGTACAGAATCTATAACATTAAAACTAATCTTTTAAGAGACTCTGTATCAAAGAAAGGATATTGTGAAATAGGGTATGTCCTAAGTAAAATGGAGTTTAACAAGGTAAGTGGATTTTAATTTAAAAAAAAAAGAGAGAGACTATTTTACATCCTTAAATGTTTGTGAATTAATTTGCCATTGGAACTTAATGACAAAATATTGTTAGGGCAGTTATCTGGAGTCCCCAAAAAGGCATTTAGCTCTGTATTGGTCTGACTTTAATACAAGAATAGATACTTTTAGACTATTTATAAGAATGGATGAAATACACACATGTGTGAGTGATTTTTTTTTTATCAGTTTCCAAAAATATTTCGTTCTTCTAAATGTTGGATAAATATTGATACATAGTAAATCTAAAGTTATTGTTTTTAATCATGGTGTCTAGAGTTAGATATTCTGGGTTGCCAGTTCACTATGGGACCAATACCTCAATAATACAAGCTGGTTGTAGGCTTTATATATTCTTTTGGAAGTGCTTTATAAAGGACAACCCCACTTTTAAAACAATAGTGGCTGAGGAATTCTAATTCTGAAGCCTGGGCCACCTTTTTTCCTGTTTTATAAATACACAGGTGAAAATGATTCTCTTGAAAGTAAGACTTCAGGATGAAGTAAATGTTTTAAATTGCCTTACTACTAAATCTTTTACTTTTCCTGATCCTGTATTTATAATATTTGGTTAAGAAATATAATCATTTGTGTGTTTTTCTTGATTGTCTTATGAGTTTTAAAAGATTATTTTTACCTTTTAGAGATCATGATTTGTAGCATCAATAAAATCTGTATGAGGCCAAAGGTAGAATGCACATTTCTCTAAGTAGCAAATAGTCATATTAAACTTCTTCTAAATATAGCAAAATGTAATTTGGTTTAGTAGTTTGTCATCTTGGTTTTTCTTTTGTCTTTATATGTTTTAAATCTATTTTGACTTTATACATTTGTTCAATTTATGTCTTTTTTAAAAAATTGAATTTTGATTGTATCTTTAAAAGACATCACAATGTTACAGTTTAAGGTGATTTTGGAATAGGAACATGCAAGTTACATCAGTGTCAGTATATTATTTATATATTATTTATGTAACATGAGTGTCCGTTTTTAAAAATGGTTTTTTAATATGAAACATAATTGAAAACTATTTCATGAAACATGTATTATTCAGTTAATCAGAGTAATAGCTTTTTCATGTAAAGAATATTGTGCACTATCGCAGTTTTTATTAAATAAATGAGTTTATACATAATGCTTAAGAGCAGCTCAGTATGTTAGAAAGCATTATAACTTACATACCTTGAAAAGAGAAGAGTAGTTATGTCTAAATTTATAAGAATCATAGCATGTACCAGCAGAGTGGAGCTAAGATATTAAAATGTCAGGAGATAAACTCACTTCTTTTCTTGATTACACTTAAAAATATTTCTACAAAGCTTGAAATGGAATGGAATGTTTTGAAAGGTATAATGTGAATACCAATCTTTGAAAATGTCTGCAGTGAATTTTTTTTTTTTTTTTTAGAGATTTTTGCTGTAGGGTGTGTATGCTTGCTGGAGAGACAGAATGAAAGAGAGAGACAGAAAGCAAAAAATTACCCCCTAGGGAGAATGGCCACACCATAATCCCTTCTCCTCCATTATCCACTTGAGATTTGGGGCTTACATGCATACATTGCTGGCATGAGTTTCAAGTTGCTGGGTCCCTGACTTGAACTGTGGTCAGCCTCATGGGAGTCCAATGCCTTAACCACAATGCTACCTGCTGGCCCTAGTGATTTTTTTTTTTTTTTGGAATGAGTCTCAGTCTTTCTTCATATGGGTTTGAATTTTACTCAGCTGCTAAAGTAATAATACAGATTTCTTTTAGTTTGAAATGTAATGCAGATAGAAAAATCTATTCTATTGAATGCTGTGTTGATGGCAATTAAAATTTCAAATTTGTTTCTATCACTCCTTATATAATTTCTGAAAATTTGAGGTATATTAGCATTGATTTACCATTACCTAAAATGACTTTTGCATGTCTTAGCAGTTTATATTGTGGTATATTTTATAGATGTATAATATAATTTTTTTTCACCCAAGAGCTATTCATTGTTTCAAAAATACTGTGGCTTTCTATTAATTAATCTGCAGTTGAAACCATGGTCATTCTTAGAAGGTGGAATTACAA